TGGTACATGCACTTTTTCAAGTTGATTGTACTGAAATGTGTGTTGGCAGTGTCTGTACACAACCATCATTTAATGATAAAAATCCATCCAGTGTTTTTGTTTTAATCTCCTTATATGTTTTCCCCTGCCTCAAATCGAGCCGGACGCCCCTCCCGCGATTGTTGATTGACAGGCGCGTTTCAACACAGACACGCCCTCGCTCATGAGAGCTGTCAATCATAGTCCGCGCGGACCGGCGCGGTCATTGTTGATATGCTGGAGCGCTGTCTATGAGCAGAATGGCGTCTAAGCGATTGTGGTGTTCTGTTCTTGGGTGCAATAAGGAACCCAGCAGTCATTTTAATGTTCCTAAATCCGAACCGCTGAAGACGCAGTGGCTGAGTTTTGTTTTTGAAGGGAATATTCCCCACGAGCAACGTCAATGCTCTCATGTTTGCGCAAATCATTTCACACACCAGACTGCTTTATAAACGAGGGTCAGTATAAAGCTGGTTTTGCTAAGCAGCTGCTCCTGAATAAAGGATCGGTACCAGATATTCGTGTTCCTGCTGAACCTCTAGAACAACTGAAGTGAGTGTAACGTTTTATTAAACTTTATATTAATATTTATATCTTTGCAAATCGCTTCACGATGAATGAGTCTAAGGTTTACACTCAGGGTACATTACTGCATGTTTTCTATGTACGACGTTCTCCATATAATTCATAATCCCACGTTTATAATGAACAACGCGTTATGGTTATTGTGTTACAAACGTGTACGCACAGAACAGAGGGGCGGGGTGAGCAAAGCTCATTATCATTTAAAGTCATATGCACTGAAACGGCGTGCTGAAAACAGAGCTGTTTTTGACCAGGTAAAATGAGTGTTTACTTACAATACTAATGAGAATTTTTAATTAAAGTATATTACAAACTTTTAATTTAGACCCTAAAGAATCATATTAGCTTGTACAAAAATGGCATTATATGACCCCTTTAAAGAAATTAGATGTTATTTTCTTACAAGAGACTCATACTGATGCAAACAATGAGGTTGACTGGCGATTGTGGTGGAAGAATGAATGTGTGCTCGCACATGGTACTAACCTGAGTGCAGGGACTGCTATTCTTTTTTTCTCCTTCTATAAAATTTTTAATACAGCTATTGTCCCCACATCTTTCACTGATCACAAATTAATCACTATTGATTGTAACTTGAACTCTAAGAAAAATAGAAGTGTTTACTGGCATTTTAACGTCAAATTGCTACAAGACAAGAGTTTTTGTGATTCTTTTAAACATTTTTGGGAGACATGGAGAAAAGAAAAAACAAGATTTGATAATGTTACTCTTTGGTGGGAAATTGGTAAAGCTCACATAAGGGATTTTTGTCAGCAGTATACATCTTACTCTAATTTTAGTTTGAAACAGTCTCTGGAATGGCTTGAAAGAGAAATCCTTGCCATTGAGAAAAACATGATAGAGATCTTTCTTCCAATGTGCATGAGTGGTCTGAGAAGAAATTAAAATTAAGCTCCATTTTAAATGAAAAGGTTAAAGGAGCTCTTGTGAGAAATATATTTTTATCTATAAAGGATATGGACAGTCCCACCTCTTTTTTTCTCCAATCTAGAACGCAAGAGTGTAAAAGTTAACCAAATGCATAACCTGAAGGATGACAATGGACCCTGTGGAAATGCGCAGACTTTTATTCACACTTATACTCACCTGAGGATATAGACATCCCGATACAAAATGGATTTCTACAAGATCTTCCTTGTCTAAATGAAGAAGATAAACAAGCATTGGAGTCTGGATGAACCTTTGTGGAATTAAGTGATGCCGTAACGGGTCTTTCGTCGGGTCGTACGCCCCAGGTATAGATGGACTTCCTGGTGAATTTTTATAAACATTTCTGGACAACATTTGGATCTGATTTATTTGAGGTGCTTAAGGAGTGTAATCGTACTGGCTTTCTACCCAAGAGCTGCCAACGGGCTGTTTTAACATTGCTTCCAAAAAAAGGTGATCTTACCATATTAAAGTACTGGAGACCTTTGGCAATTCTCTGCACTGATTATAAAATTTTATCAAAGTGCCTTGCCAATAGATTGAACAAAATATTGTTTAAAATAATACACAAAGATCAATCGTATTGTATAAAAGATAGATGTATTGCTGATAATTTGCACTTAGTACGTGATGTCATTGATTATGCAATGTGTAATAATATTGATGTAGGAATACTGTCACTTGATCAGGAAAAAGCTTTTGATCGTGTTGATCATCAATATCTTTTCAAAGTATTAGAAGCTTTTGGATTTGGAGAGAAATTTAGGAAAATGATAAAGTTGTTGTACAATAATGCAGTATGTATGGTAAAGATAGCAGGAGGTTTGAGTGTCCTTGTCAAGGTACAGAGGGGTATCAGACAAGGATGCCCACTTTCTGGTCAGCTTTATAGTTTGGCTATAGAACCTCTTCTATGTAAATTAAGAGAGAGTTTAATGGGTTTGAAGGTGAAACGTGATATTTTTAATGAGTATGTAAAGGTTTCAGCTTATGCTGATGATATTACTGTTGTTTTAAGGGATGTTAAAGATGTTCAGATTTTAAAAGAGACTTTATTAAGTTATGGTAAAGCTTCATCTGCAAAAGTGAACTGGGCAATAAGTGATGCAGTGTGGTGTGGTTTAGACCACAGCACTCCAGCTCTCCCAAGTCATTTAAAATAGGGGGAAATCTGGGTTAAAATATTTGGGGGTGTTTTTAGGAAGGGAGGACTGCAAGAGACAGAATTGGGAGGGCCTGGTGGAGAAGGTGTGTGCTCGGTGATCTTGCTGGCGTTGGTTGCTACCACAGTTACCCTATAGGGGAAGAGCCCTGGTCTGCAACAACCTTGTAGCCTCAACGCTATGGCACAAAATGAGCATTCTGGAACCTCCTGAAGATTTGGTTGGGAAAATTCAAAAACGCTTAACAGACTTTTTTTGGTCCGGTAACCACTGGATTAAAGCATCACTTTTGTTTCTGCCCAGACAAGAAGGTGGACAAGGACTGGTGGATATAAAAAGCAGAATTAAGACTTTCAGACTACAGACAGTAAAAAGATTCCTCTACGGAGTGGATGGAAGCTGGTCTGGAGTAGCCTGTGCCCTCCTCAGAAGAGCAGGAGGGATGGGGCTGGATAAACACTTGTTTCTCCTGGACATTCAAAATGTTGATTTGACTGGACTAACTTCCTTTTACCATTCCGTGTTCAAAGCCTGGAGGACTTTTAATATCTCAAGAGACGCAACGGATGAGGGAGGTCTCTGGTCAAGGGAAGAACCTCTAATGCACAATTCTATAGTGGATCTATAGTGGACTCTATAGTGGACTCTATAGTGGACTCTATAGTGGACTCTATAGTGGACTCTATAGTGGACTCTATAGTGGACTCTATAGTGGACTCTATAGTGGACTCTATAGTGGACTCTATAGTGGACTCTATAGTGGACTCTATAGTGGACTCTATAGTGGACTCTATAGTGGACTCTATAGTGGACTCTATAGTGGACTCTATTGTGGACTCTATTGTGGACTCTATTGTGGACTCTATTGTGGACTCTATTGTGGACTCTATTGTGGACTCTATTGTGGACTCTATTGTGGACTCTATTGTGGACTCTATTGTGGACTCTATTGTGGACTCTATTGTGGACTCTATTGTGGACTCTATTGTGGACTCTATTGTGGACTCTATTGTGGACTCTATTGTGGACTCTATTGTGGACTCTATTGTGGACTTTATTGTGGACTCTATTGTGGACTCGGTGATTTTAAAATCACCATCGACGAGGAATCTTCTAAAGGCTGCAGGAGTTGTAAAGATTAGACATTTGATAACTTCAGATGGATGGATGTCTCCTGAAATGTTAGCTTCCAAGATTGGAATAAGATCAACTCGTTGGTCACAAAGACTGTTAAATGAAATTCTTGAGAGCCTACCGATGGAATTTAAATGCAGTGTGGAAGCAACTAATGAAGACATGGATTTAACTTTTCCTGAACTAAGAATAATTCCGGCAGTGGGTATTTTTGAAGAAAAGGAGGGGTCTTTGTTGACCTTCAAGACACCTGTATTGGACTGTTTCAGGAAAACTGAGAAGAAAGCACTGTACGTCACATGTGTAAAAGTTTCACACTCTCACTCTTTGGGAGGAGTTGGCAAGAGCTTTTTGGATCAGGCTCTTCCCCGAAGGGCCTTGTACAAGCCTCCCATTGAGAAAAGGTCTGGAGACCTTCAGTGGAGAGTTGTGCATGGGTTAATATCTACAAACAGATACAGAGCACACCTCGACCCCCAGGTTCAGGAGGAAACTGTCTTTCATTTATTCTTCCAATGTGGGAGGCTTGTGCCTTTATTTTCTCAATGAGAAGAATGGTGTATAGTTTTGGGAGAAGTGTTTTCACCTATGTTATTTATCTATGGACCAAAGTATAACAGAAACAGAAAGCAGATCCATGTTTTGCTTATTTTTTTGTTTGGGCAAGCAAAAATGGGAATTTGGATTTCACGTAAAAGCAAAATAAATAATGCAGGGTCAACTGATGTAATGTTAATTTTAAAAGGGTTAATTAAAACTAGATTAAAGGTGCATATAAAGTTATAATATGCATACTATAACTTGGTTAAAGACCTGGAGACTTTCAATCATATTTGGGGAGTAAACCAGTGCATATGTGAATCTGATTTTGATGGTGCTTTGCAAATTTATATTTAATTGTGCTATTGTTTTTCTTGCTTGGTTTTTGTGCTATTGATTATTGTATGTTTGTATTTTAAATTACTTTTTAAATCTATGTAAGGTTTAATTAAACCTTGATTATTTTGTAATAAAGGGGGGTTAAAAGTCAAAAGTCTCTCTCTCTCTCTCTCTCTCTCTCTCTCTCTCTCTCTCTCTCTCTCTCTCTCTCTCTCTCTCTCTCTCTCTCTGTGGGCGGAGTCAGTGAATGACAGTGGCTGTAGACTCACAGAATCACTCAGTTCAATTCTTCCAGACAAACACACCTGACAGGTAAGATCACTGCTTTCCTGCATGTAAAGAGCTGGGCTTGTGTGTGTGTGTGTGTGTGTGTGTGTGTGTGTGTGTGTGTGTGTGTGTGTGTGTGTCAGAATCTTTAAAAAGCCTGTGAAATCTGATTTGTTATTGATCTGATATGCATGTAGAGATGAGCTATGTGTGCGTCGGGCTTTCATGTGTTATGTCATGGAAATAAGTTTCTCAGTTATGTGTGTAAACATTATATTTGAATCACTTTTTGAAACGTACATTTTATGAATAGTTTTCAGATTTACAGCGGAAGAAAACAGAGAATTGAAAGTTAAACAAGAACACAGTTGGGGAACAAAATTACCAAAATTATAATTTTAGTCTTGCGAGTTTTAGTTGTTTAGCATGTTTTACACACAATTTCTAAATAATGTTGTCAAGGAACAGTGTTGCAAATCCTCCGGAACAGTAGAAGGAAAACTGATCAAACATGATGAATAATGTGTTCAGGAGTTTGCACTTATATTGCATAGTTGTGTTTGCAGTCGAGTGTTTTATTTGTGATAATAACGCAATGAAACATGACAAATTGTGTGACATAACTTTTGGCCAGACTGTCACACAAAGAAATTATGAACAAGCAAAAACAAGAACTAACCACTGAAATATTAATAATTATTTAGGATGTAGTCAATGTTTGCTTTTTCCTTTTTGCAGATAAATTAAACCTATAGCTGTAGTTTGCCTTTTTGTCTAATAATTTTATTATAAATACCTTAACCGAGTTTAGTGTTTTGTTCTTCTCTCATATTTAAAATGTTTTCAAAAATAAAAAAAATGTCCTCATATTTTGATGTTTTAATGTAACTTGTAGGCTCATTAAAATCCTCATCACTTTCGTCCACTACTGTAAATCATGTCCGTTTACAGAATATATGAAGATGATCTGTCCACTTTCCTTACAGTTTATAATAATCATAAGATTTACAACATTTTCTCTTTCCACTCTTCCTTCCTTTATCATCTGATGTTTTATATAACGTGATGTGTTTTCTGTCCATCAAATCTAGAGATTGAAAACATATTTGTAGGAAATTATAACAAACATTATTTTCCAGAATGTCACTCTCTTTCACGTTTGTAAAGTTTCATTTCTTATTCACGGTTTCCTTCCATCCCAAATAAACACGGACACTATACGACAAGTTTCATGTGTCCATCATGAAAAATCAAGAAAAGACATTTCAATATTTTTGAGTGCTCGTTGTAAGTGTTAGTGAAGTATAAGTATTAAACTCATGTTAGCAGTTGAGAGCTTGTGTAAAGTGTTAGTGTAGTGTTTACTGAGAGTGATCTGACTCATGATGATCGTGTAAAGTGTTAGTGAAGTATTAAACTCATGTTAGTGTTAGTGTAGTGTTGACTGAGAGTGATCTGACTCATGATGATCGTGTAAAGTGTTAGTGAAGTATTAAACTCATGTTAGTGTTAGTGTAGTGTTTACTGAGAGTGATCTGACTCATGATGATCGTGTAAAGTGTTAGTGAAGTATTAAACTCATGTTAGTGTTAGTGTAGTGTTGACTGAGAGTGATCTGACTCATGATGATCGTGTAAAGTGTTAGTGAAGTATTAAACTCATGTTAGTGTTAGTGTAGTGTTTACTGAGAGTGATCTGACTCATGATGATCGTGCTGTTGAATGAATATCACGCTGCGCGGCCGGTCCGACTGGCTCTATTGTGTCGCTGTGGAATGAATGACAGAGATGTGTGTGTGTGGGAGAATCTTTTGTGTGTGAAATCCACCGAATGATGCCGATCCGCCCACAGCTCAAGATCACACACACACACACACACACACACACACACACACACACACACACACACACACACACACACACACACACACACTTCAGCTCTGATTGAGTTCTGCTTGATATTCATATACACCTGGAGTATGCTTTCAAAATGTTAAACATTAGTTTACTACCTTAGTAAACTATGATAATCAACAATATTTCTACAGCATTTATTCATCTTAGTTAAAGGATTAGTTCACCTCAAAATGAAAATGTCCTGATAATTTACTCACCCCAATGCCATCCAAGATGTTCATGTCTTTCTTTCTTCAGTGGAAAAGAAATTAAGTTTTTTTGAGGAAAACATTTCAGGATTTTTCTCCACACAATGGACTTCAATTGCAGCCAACATGTTGAAGTCTAAAACAATGCAGCTTCAAAGGGCTCTGAAGTGCTTCACACGGCTCTGCACTATCCAGCTGAGGAACAGGGTCTTATCTAGCGAAACCATCGCTCATTTTCTAAAAAAATAATAATAATTTATACACTTTTTATCCACAATTGTTCGTCTTGTGCATAGGTCTTGTGCTGGTCTGCGACGCACCAGGGATTACGTCATCACGTTGGAATCGTCACGCGTTACGTCATCTATCTAAGTTATTTGTCTGTGTAACGTTACTCCGGTTAAAAAAGGCAGGGAAGGGCGAAAAATTCCTTCTCATTTTCTCCCGTTTTCTCTTCCAACTTCAAAATCGTCTGACATTTTTGTTTTAATTTATTATTATTATTAAAAAAAAAATCCCCCCCCCAAAAAAATCGTGACGTTTCCAACGTGATGACGTAATGCCTGGAGCGTCCCAGACCAGCAAAAGACGAACAATTGTGGTTAAAAAGTATATAAATGTTTATTTTTTTTAGAAAATGCCCGATGGTTTCACTATAAGACCCTTGCTCAGCTGGATCGTGCAGAGCCGTGTGAAGCTCTTCAAAGCCCCTTGAAACTGCATTGATTTAGACTTCAACATGTTGGTTGCAATTGAAGTCCATGTGTGGAGAAAAATCCTGAAATGTTTTCCTCAAAAAACTTTTTTTTTCCACTGAAGAAAGAAAGACATGACCATCTTGGATGGCATTGGGGTGAGTGAATTATCAGGACATTTTCATTTTGAGGTGAACTAATCTTTTAATATTAACATTTAAAATACATTATTAAAATCAAAGGTTGTATTTGTTAACATAATGTACTGTGAACTAACATGAACAAACAATGAACAGCTGGATTTTTATTAACTAACATTAACAAAGATTAACTAATACAGTAACTATTGCTCACCGTTAGTTCATGTTAGTTAATACATTAACGTATGTTAAATAATGAACCTTATTGTAAAGTTTTACCCAATTTTTTATGCTTTTGAAAGAGTCTCTTCTGCTCACCAAGGCTGCATTTATTAGATCGAAAATACAGTAAAACAGTGAAATATTATTCCAGTGTAAATCATCTGTTCTCTATGTGAATATGTAAAGTGTAATTTATTCCTGTCATCAAAGCTGATGCTCAAGGAACATTTATGATTATTATCAGTGTTGATTTATTCAGTCAAGATTTCTGTAGAAACCCTCATACATTTTATTTTTCAGGATTCTTTGATTCTTAGAAAGTTTACTTATCAACTAATATTAGTATTAGTATAATATTAACCCCCCAATCCCTCTTACCACAAATGTTTGAATGGTGTCATTGTTTCCAAGGCAAGGCAAGTTTATTTATATAGCACATTTCATACACTATGGTAATTCAAAGTGCTGTACATAGAAAGGAATTAAAACAACCACAAAAAAATCAAGAAAAATTAAAACAGTTAAAAGAATTACAAGAGAAAAAATTTCAGAAAATTTCCAGAAAAATGTTAAGTAGCAAAAACTGTTTGCAACATTGATCATAATCATAAATGTGTCTTGAGTATCAAATCAGCATGTTAGAGTTACTAATATGAGCATAGAGTTGTTAGTTTTACATTGTAATAATATTTCACTGTTTTTATTGATATTATGATCAATTTGGTGAGCAGTGACTCTTTCAGAAACATTTTTTTCTAATGTTTTCAAACTTTGACAGGTAGTAAATTCATTAATATACCACAATATCTCTCTCTCTGTGTGTGTGTGTGTGTGTGTGTGTGTGTGTGTGTGTGTGTTCAGGGTTGTTTGTTGTTGTTGTCCCTTCAAATATCTGTAAATCTTTCATGATTGTCATGACTAATGAAACTCTTGTCTTCAGTAATTAAATTCAGCAATCATTTGAGGGTCAGTAAATTAGCTTTACATTAATCTGGCACTTTGTTTGTTTCTCTCAGAGTGTAATATATTTCACATGAACGTCTTAAGAGCAGAAGAACAGTCCTCATGAGAACGCCTCTTTTTTCCCCACTCCTGTATGTGGGACTGGTGGCTTTCGGTGAGTCCACAATCATCATTTATGTTTAAACCGATCGATTAAAACGGCACACTGATCAAACAAGTGCATAATGTTCATGTCATGACTGTGTTAGAACATTTACAGGATGACTTGATTGTGATTGGCCAATGGTGTCATTAATTAATGTTTAATTTATAATTTTCTCAGTCAAGTCATTTCCTCTATAGCTGTGCTAGTTTCATGTGTCGTATCGCTCTTCTCACAGATTAAAACCATACAGACTCAATATTGTATTAATTTTACAGTAGGCATGTGAAATGCAGGTTAGATGCAGTCTCTCCACCAGACTGTGCTTTACCACAATGACCAGCTGATGTACATGATCTCTCTTTCTGTCGTTCTGTTTTCAGCCAGCATATGTTCAGCAGAACAGACGTGAGTGAAACTCTTCAGATCTGCCCATTATATAACCTAAAGAAACATTGGGGACAAAAGAACCCATCCAGAATGCAGTCTTTCCTGTGTTTTATGTTGTTGTGAAATTACTTTAACATTTCTGGCTTTCATTAATCACTGTGACCTATCGCTCACTTTCCGTTCACGCTCCCATTTCTCTCTGTTAATCTCCTTATTTCATTATTCACAGTAAAACCTGTAGAACGAGTGGTGGACCTACAGCAGAACAATGCACTGATGTGAGTTCACACACACACACACACACACACACACACACACACACACACACACACACACACACACACACACGCGCGCACACACACACACACACACACGCGCGCACACACACACACACACACACACACACACACACACACACACACACACACTAACACACACACACACACACACACACACACACACACACACACACACACACACACACACACACACTAACACACACACACACACACACACACACACATACACACACACACACACACACACACACAGATATTTTTAGATTGTTCTTTGTTAGAGAATTTTGTTTGTTTTGGTAAGTCAGCAGCTAAAGACACAAACTCACCATGAACTAAGCAGTAATGTCACATGAGCAAAGCAACATATTAAACTCAAGTGCAGTTTTATAACATTGAAATAACTAATATGACTCAATCAAAGAATCAAAGATCTCAGAGGATCTACAAAGACTCACTAAAACCAACAACAAGACACATATAAAAACAGACAAACACTGGAGATAGACACAATCAGACCGATTAGACAACAAAACTCCAGACAGAAACATAAAACCAAAGGGAACATGATGAATAAAAGTACCCTAGACAAAAAGATTGAAACCTTACCAACCCTACAGTCACTAGGGAAAGTCTACGGAACGTGTCAAAGACTTAAACCCATCTAGAGAAGTTCAAGTTCACTTTATTTATATAGCACATATACAACAGCCACTAGGCTGACCAAAGTGCTTTACAGAACAACCATATAAGAAAATAATACCTGCATAACAAGTCAAGTCAAGTCATCTTCATTTATATAGCGCTTTTAACAATGGATTGTTTCAAAGCAGGTTTACAGAGATAAACATATCATTTAAGGTAACAGATTGTTTTGGCGTTATAGCGGTTCTTGAATAATGTTACTTCCAGCTAAAGTTAACTTTGATTGATTCACCTCCGTCGAAATGATCAGACTTTAAACGCGAACCTGTGATTAACGCTGACGGCGTTCACATGCTCATTCAGAATTCTATAGTTATGTGCTTTTTAAAATATGTGCGCAGGTTTGTAATTCATACAACCCAGCCTAAACAAACTACTTTTCTTGCCTATAAATTGATACAGAATTTTGTTTTATTTTATCACTTCGGGGTACGCGAGCCGGAATTCCAAACGCTTTATCTGTAGAGTGGGAAAGGGATCCTGCATAGGGAGAGGATAGTGGATACTTCAGCACTGCATTGTCATCGGGTCCAGGCAAAGCTCCCTCATCAGATCTGGACACGGCCCGGATCCGGCAGGCTGCGGGAAAACCTCGGGATAAACAAAGACACTAATATTAGCGTAGAACAACAGATAAAACACAAACAAAAGCAGCAAAGCTAAGAGCAACCTTAAACCGAGTAGCAAAATGTTATCAGACTCAAATATAAAATAGTAAAACAAAAGTGGCAAAGCAGTATCAGACTCAAATGTAAAATGGAAAAAACAACCTAAGAAAAGAGATATGCTGAAGAAAACAGGTCAGTCTTTAACAGAGACTTGAAGACAGACGGGGGCCGTTCTAATCTCTAGAGGCAGGGTGTTCCAGAGTCCTCCTTCAGGAGAAGCTTCTCCTGTCCAGCATGTAATATATCAAGTAGGAATGACAGATTCTGTTGAATTTGGAAGAGTACGGTAGAAGGGAAACCCAAGAAGGCATGAGACTGGGGGCCTTTGAGCACAAACCAAGAGGAATATTGAGTGCATAGAGAGCCATGAGCTTTAGTCCTGCGGTTAGTCAGCTGGGACAATTTATGTCTGTGTTCAAGCCCTTAGACAGGCCAGGGGTAGATGACTACAGGGATCAGGACAGAGGTAGATGACTACAGGGATCAGGACAGGGGTAGATGACTACAGGGATCAGGACAGAGGTAGATGACTACAGGGATCAGGACAGGGGTAGATGACTACAGGGATCAGGACAGAGGTAGATGACTACAGGGATCAGGACAGGGGTAGATGACTACAGGGATCAGGACAGACGTAGATGACTACAGGGATCAGGACAGGGGTAGATGACTACAGGGATCAGGACAGGGGTAGATGACTACAGGGATTAGGACAGGGGTAGATGACTACAGGGATCAGGACAGAGGTAGATGACTACAGGGATCAGGACAGAGGTAGATGACTACAGGGATCAGGACAGGGGTAGATGACTACAGGGATCAGGACAGAGGTAGATGACTACAGGGATCAGGACAGGGATAGATGACTACAGGGATCAGGACAGAGGTAGATGACTACAGGGATCAGGACAGGGATAGATGACTACAGGGATCAGGACAGGGATAGATGACTACAGGGATCAGGACAGAGGTAGATGACTACAGGGATCAGGACAGAGGTAGATGACTACAGGGATCAGGACAGAGGTAGATGACTACAGGGATCAGGACAGGGGTAGATGACTACAGGGATCAGGACAGACGTAGATGACTACAGGGATCAGGACAAAGGTAGATGACTACAGGGATCAGGACAGACATAGATGACTACAGGGGACAGACGTAGATGACTACAGGGATCATGACAGGGGTAGATGACTACAGGGATTAGGACAGGGGTAGATGACTACAGGGATCAGGACAGAGGTAGATGACTACAGGGATCAGGACAGGGGTAGATGACTACAGGGATCAGGACAGAGGTAGATGACTACAGGGATCAGGACAGGGGTAGATGACTACAGGGATTAGGACAGGGGTAGATGACTACAGGGATCAGGACAGAGGTAGATGACTACAGGGATCAGGACAGAGGTAGATGACTACAGGGATCAGGATGGGGTAGATCACTACAGGGATCAGGACAGGGATAGATGACTACAGGGATCAGGACAGAGGTAGATGACTACAGGGATCAGGACAGAGGTAGATGACTACAGGGATCAGGACAGGGATAGATGACTACAGGGATCAGGACAGGGATAGATGACTACAGGGATCAGGACAGAGGTAGATGACTACAGGGATCAGGACAGAGGTAGATGACTACAGGGATCAGGACAGGGGTAGATGACTACAGGGATCAGGACAGACGTAGATGACTACAGGGATCAGGACAGAGGTAGATGGCTACAGGGATAAGGACAGAGGTAGATGACTACAGGGATCAGGACAGACATAGATGACTACAGGGGACAGACGTAGATGACTACAGGGATCATGACAGGGGTAGATGACTACAGGGATTAGGACAGGGGTAGATGACTACAGGGATCAGGACAGAGGTAGATGACTACAGGGATCAGGACAGGGGTAGATGACTACAGGGATCAGGACAGAGGTAGATGACTACAGGGATCAGGACAGGGGTAGATGACTACAGGGATTAGGACAGGGGTAGATGACTACAGGGATCAGGACAGAGGTAGATGACTACAGGGATCAGGACAGAGGTAGATGACTACAGGGATCAGGATAGGGGTAGATCACTACAGGGATCAGGACAGGGATAGATGACTACAGGGATCAGGACAGAGGTAGATGACTACAGGGATCAGGACAGAGGTAGATGACTACAGGGATCAGGACAGGGATAGATGACTACAGGGATCAGGACAGGGATAGATGACTACAGGGATCAGGACAGGGATAGATGACTACAGGGATCAGGACAGAGGTAGATGACTACAGGGATCAGGACAGGGGTAGATGACTACAGGGATCAGGACAGAGGTAGATGACTACAGGGATCAGGACAGGGGTAGATGACTACAGGGATCAGGACAGACGTAGATGACTACAGGGATCAGGACAGAGGTAGATGACTACAGGGATCAGGACAGAGGTAGATGACTACAGGGTCAGGACAGACGTAGATGACTACAGGGGACAGACGTAGATGACTACAGGGATCATGACAGGGGTAGATGACTACAGGGATTAGGACAGGGGTAGATGACTACAGGGATCAGGACAGAGGTAGATGACTACAGGGATCAGGACAGGGGTAGATGACTACAGGGATCAGGACAGAGGTAGATGACTACAGGGATCAGGACAGGGGTAGATGACTACAGGGATCAGGACAGGGATAGATGACTACAGGGATCAGGACAGAGGTAGATGACTACAGGGATCAGGACAGAGGTAGATGACTACAGGGATCAGGACAGGGATTAGGACAGGGACTGCCAGAGACTGCATCCACATGGTCATCCCTGGGACTCTGGAAGGACTTGATGCCTTCCTCCTCTTGGACTAGCTTTCCCTGGAGTGGAAAGTGCTGTCCTTCTCATGCACATAAACTAGTAATGAGCAGCCACAAGAAAGATTGAGTACTAGTTCTTCATCAAAATTGCGTGTTGTTGCAACTGGGAACTTTGTTTCCTGGTGGACTATATAAACCAGCACAACAATGTCCCATGTAGTCCTCAATGAGACCATCCCTCTGATGGAAAGACAGCTTTCTCTGTAACACAGTAGCTGATTGAACAACAATACAGGTGTACACACCTTGGGGAAGCTAGCAAAAGTCTCAAAGAAATCCAGTCCACGCCATCAGCGTTATACAGAACTGAACTGTTGTAAACTCATGTTCTCAGTCCGTGCTGTTTCTGTCGCCTCAGATGGACGGCCCCACGCAGAGATTCCTGACGTGTGCTGGCGTCCCATCAGAGCCCGGCGCAGACCACATCATGAACCTGAAGGGCCTCATCAGCGCTGCTCTGGATGTATACTCATTCATGGTACGCCAGAACACACAGACACACATATCCCATGAGCCTTCGCTGCTGTGGTTCTGCTGTGACACGCTCTGTCCCGCAGCGCTCCAGTGTGACCGGGGTTCCAGTCTTCGATCTGTCGGGAGGGGTCAGTTTGAACGAGGATCACGTGATCAGAGCGTGGCTGGACATCAAGCTCACTCCTCTGCTGTCGACCATCTCCAGGAACTTCCTCACATGTCTCAGCAACAGAAACTTCAGCTGCAGCGCCTACCAGACTGTGTACGGCAGCACACAAGAGCACTAGTGGAACACAATTAATGACTTCATTTCATTGTGCATGTGTGTGTTAATGACTGTGTGTGTGTTCTGGTGTCTGTGTGTGTATTGTTGTGTGTATATAGTGTCAAGGAGTTGAGTCAGCATTTCTCCGGTCTGGATCCAGGGAGACAGAAGTGGATCTATTCCTTCTTCATGTACCCATTCCTCTCTAGGAACACATCCTCAGGTAACACTTCTACTTTAGCATGGAGTGTTGTTTGTCAGGTCATGTTGTTTGTGTTCTGTGAAGGTTTTGCCCATGTTTGATTGTATGTTGTTGTAGGCTGTGTAGATCCAGATGACAGCACTGAAGACTGGCTGATGAAAAACTTTGGCTCGTTCGCTGTGGTGGCTCAAGTGCGAGACTTCACGTCCATCAACATGCTCTTCAGCGGGGTAGGAACACTCCCTCCTGCATCTGATGCTCTCCTGAGGGTCATTTGATAGCCCCAGTTTCACTGCAATACTATGTTGATGGCCTGGAGATGTTCTGAGGTTCTTCCCTGTCTTGCCAGCTGGAGGTTTTGCACCTCTTGAGTCCAGAGCAGAAGGCAGAGCTTCTCCTTCACCCAGAGGTGGTGGGCTTGACTGACAGCTCCCTCGGCCTGGTGTTTCAGAGTTTGCTATCTTCTCTGATGCCCTCTGAGGATCCATGGACTTCAAATAACAGCAACACGTATTACATGAGCACTGTTCCATCCTCTTCACCGCATGACCCCCTGGGACAGGCAAGAAAGACATCATTCACAGTCTGATGGATGTAGATGACTAAATCTGTTGCAGTATTTTAAGAGCACTAGATGTAGTAAAGTGACCCAAATATGCTGATCTATTGACATATTGAATGATTAATTGAGAATGTCTGATGTGTGGGTACAGGCACTGAATGGTTTCATGACGGCATTTAGACCTGTCGGGAGTTTTGTGAGAGAATTTGTGTCCTTGACAAAGCAGGTAACACACACACACACACATTCAGTAAAGCATTACAAACCTAAACACCATGTCCTGAGTTTGAGGAATTCTTCTGTATATATCTGCTCTCTTCCTGAAGCAAAACTTGAGCGGCATGCGGAGCGCCACACTTTTGCAGGCCGTGATAAACCTGACGCTCGCCGAGATCGCCGCTCCTTTCAAGCAGAACACCAGCCAAGACCCCATGGTTACTTTTGACCCCATGAACGTTAACGACTGGTTCACACATGTGGTTTCTCCCGTACTCCGGCGATTCCTTCCTGACAACCAGATAGAAATCCACCCCAACCTCACGGCTGTCTTCCATAACCAGTTGTGAGTTTGCCATGCAAGAACTGTCAACGTTACCCACAAAACTCCTCTCATAGAGTAATGAAAACGTTCTGATGTGGTTTGGGGTCTTTTTCTTTAGCTACATCGAGACAGGGATGGGATCTGGAGCCCAGAATGAAAGTCAGGACATCTGCAGCGTCATTATTGATAACAGAACATGTGGGGTAAGCTGAAAGAATGTATTATTCCAAGCATCTTCTCTGCTGGGATGAAAATTTGTTTTCATATTGTATCTCACACAATGTGTTTAAATTTCTGTCTAGCTGACTGACTTGGTGGAACATGTGGCCACTGTCCTGCACTGTGCAGCTCGATCAAACCTCACGCTCAACGAGGAGACGCTCTTGGATGTTCTCCTGCATCTCTCCCAGAACCTCAACGCTCTACTGCAGCAGCTCTCCATGACTGTGAGAACCACATCAGCCATGTATAAACCAGTCAGTGCTCTTTAGCAGGAGCATTGTGTAAGCCTAATTTCTGCTTGCATGTTGCTTCTTGCCACTCTCCTAGAACTTCAGTTCCCAGAGTTCTCCCTTCAGTGACATCCTGGACCAAATCGCTGATGACAGCTTCACGATGAGCAACTTGCAGGATGAGTCGTTTGTTAGATTATGGTTCCAGGTCAAGCTAAAGCCTCTGCTTTCCACACTGATGCCAGAATATCTCACGTGCCTCAGTCACAAAGAGTTCAGCTGCCAAACCTTCCAGATACTGTACGTCCACGGCACCTAAACGTTGATCTCCTTTGAAGACCTCTATTCTTAACTGACCTCCACTCTCACCTGACTTTCATTCATCACTTTCAGTGTTTCAGAGCTCAGTGACAACATGTTCCTGATGTCAGAAGGCGAGGAGAATGTTTATAAGTATTTCATCTTCTCCTTCCTGAGCCGACAAAATGTTTTAGGTACTCCTGTCCATTCATCCATCTGTTCATCCATGAATCTATCAATCAATCTATAAAAATATGTTATCAACATGTTTTCAGGTGGCTGCCCTGCTGAGAACAGCAGCATCTGGGTTACTCTGAATCTTGGCAAGTTTTCACAGTTTGCAACATTGAGGGAAATGTACCAGCTGAACCAAGACTTCAACGCTGTGAGTTGCACACATCCCCACTGTCAAGAACATCTACTGTATTTCAACTTGTTTTATTATGTTTCAGCAACAAAGATTCAACTCTATGTCATCTTTTTATGCATGCAATGCTTGTCTGTTAAATGAAATCTTTTCTTTGTGTATTTCAGATAGATGCCCTGGTGGTTCTTACCCCCAGACAGACAGCTGAACTGATAATTGAGGATTTTGCAGGTCTGCCAGAGAAAAGCATCATCATAAACATGGCCTTTGATCATATCTTGGTTTCTCCTGAAGACCGTGGTCTACTTGAGATGCTCAGATATCTGATCATACTTGCTGGCGAGGTAAGACCATCTCTGCCACTGTGGAGAGATTGCAGTTCATATAAAAGGTTTGCAGTAAGTTGAATTGTTTCATGTTTTATTTTGATATCAGATGGGTTTGGAGTGCTCATCATACCAGCAGATGTGAGTAATACACATAAGCTCACATGTTTCTACAACTGTTTCTGAACTGCTTCCGTTGAGACCCGTTTCACATAATTGCTCTTCCTTCCAGAGTTCGGAGGCTGCAGGGAGCTGTGGTTCCTCCACACATGATGCAACCCATCAAGGACAACGTGGATCAGCTGGAACACATGGCACCCCCTGGTACGCACAAACCAAAAATAATTAAAAGTATTGCGGAATGACTAAATTTCTGAAGAGATTTTTCAACATTTTAGTTTCTAAAGTATAGTTAGGATTCACACATACACACACATATATTTCTAAACTATATTTCTGAAATTTTACTGTTGTTTTTTAACAGGCTGCTTTCCTCCACTTATTACGGTAAGAAACACAATTTTTTAATCTCATTGGTTGATATTTTCACAAACATGACAAGTGATTCATAATCTATTATTGTTTTGTGGTCATATCCTTTGCAGTGTATTTCAACACCATTCAATGGTAAGTCAAATATTAAGCTGTAAAGTACTATAAAATATAATTATCTTTTATTTAATTCTATTATCTGTTTTTCTTATTTTCCTTTTCTTTTACATTTACAGAAACCTCAATTTGTGATGGAATCAGCAGGTAGTGTTCATTTTAGACTTTTCACTAAATGAAAATAAAACTCATGTCAAGTAAATCAAGTTCATGAGGAGTTTATCTACCCCACAGTAATGCGACTCTCCTGTCCGCTGGGCTCGTGAGCGCCCCCTGTAGTGTCGACCTGCAGCAGTACGCTTGCTCTTCGGTAAGAAGATGACCAGCAGAAGCTCTTTTATAATGAGCTGATATTGATGATTTTCTGGGAATCTACGTCCCTCCAGAGAGCAAATGTGCTGCAGTTTCTAGAATCACCCGGATATTTCCTGAACTGATGAAACCCTTTGTGTTCGTAGCTCACAGGCTTCACTGCTGAACACCTGGCTGGACTTCTGAAGTGTCAGCTATCCAGCAGCAGCAGTTACTCCAAGGAGATCTGGAAGCTGCTCTTCACCAAAACAGACAGTGTTCTCAATGGAGCCCTCACCATATTTTCCAGCTCGGCAACAAATATGGTAAAGAAGCCTTGTTCTACTCTTCTCTAATGTCACTTGGAAGATTGACTGGGAATATGGCAATAATTCCTCCTCATTACATCACCAGTCTCAGCCAATCAGAGGCGATGTCGTGTCCCAAGTGCTGGATGTGATTGGGGAGCTGAGGTTGGAGCGCATCAGTCCTGACCAATGGAGTGACGTTACTTTCATCAGCATGTTGCTGGGTCAATATCTGAAGCCGTTTCTACCCTTCGTGTCACCATCTCTACTGCAGTGCACTGGGAGCAAAAACCTCAGCTGCCAAACTTACCAGCACATGTAAGAAAACCATTTCCTCTACAATACCTCAAGACTATCGTTGATAAGATGCTTTGTTCAACATTATTTCCAACCATTCCTCAGTCTGTCAGAGTTCCCGCTGATCAATGAGACGCAAGGAAGGAACGTGGTGGGATTTTTCATCTTGCCCTTCCTCAGGAGAAACGCAACAGGTGAGGTGGAGGTTTGCAGTGGTTTCAGGCAGAATGTCACTCATGTTGAGGTTCTGGAGCTAATGAAGGGGATTTTACTGTGTGTGTTGTGTGTCAGATGTGGGCTGTGTGTCGAGTGCTAACAGCAGTACTGAGTGGCTGCTGAAGAACTTTGGCTCGTTCGCTCAGTTTGTGTCTCTCAAAGAACTGCTCTCCGTCAACGCACACTTTGATCCCGTAAGTATCTTCACATGTGATGTAATCAAAGAACAAAGATGACAAGAAGCTTAAATAACCTCCAACATCATCAGTTTTATCTGTAGGACTTTCCCACTCAGTGTTGCTTCCTATTGTACAGTGTTTTACTATTGAGTTTTTATGTGGCACTTGCTTGTCTGTTTTATGTTATGTCCTCTTATGTGTTGACATTGCACTTTGAGATTCTTGCACATTTTTTTCCAATGTGGTTTTACACCGCAAATGGCTAATAAAGTGAATCTGAATCTTGTTCTTCTGTGTGTCTTTAGTTGGAGACGCTGGTCTATCTGTCTCCAGGGCAGATGGTTGGACTGATGGTTGAAGATCTGCCTGGTCTTCCACAGAAGGAAGTCATCATCAATCGAGTGTTTGATCATCTGCTAGAGTCTCCTGTGGATCGAGGACTTCCTGGTGTTCTTCAAAGCCTGCTCTTACTCCCACAGACGGTAAAACTTACTCAGATGTGTTCAATGCCTCTGCTTCAGACCGCAGTGAGATGGCCATCCAGATGGCTATTTTAGGCATCATGGGTGTGATTGTGACGAAGTCATTTCCAAACAGTTGACAGCAAAATAATGAGGACTCATCCAATATTATACCAGAATTATGTGTCTCGTTAAACAATCCAAGAATACAATGAGGAAAATATTGTGAAAATTTGCATCTAACGGACCTTATTCAGGGTAAACGCCTTATCTAATTTTTCTACACATGTAAATGAGGTTTTGAGGGAGAGGCTTCGGTCTAATGCAACATTCAAAGTTACTTTCCAAAACAATTCCTGGTGACAAAAGACTCTTAAAAACATGTTGGGAAATAAGTTCAATGTTAAACACGACCGTAAATCAAAACAACAGACTGACATGTGGTTGTAGGGTAAATGCGCAGTGATCGAAGAAGTGAAATGTGAAGGCCAAGTATGGTAACCCATACTCAGAGTTTGTCCTCTGCATTTAATCCATCCAAGTTACTGCACACATCAGGAGTAGTGAGTAGTGAACACACACACACACACACACTGCGAGCTGTGGAGACACACACCCGGAGCACGGTGGCGCCCTGGGAGCGATTGGGGATTAGATGCCTTGCCAAGGACTACCGTTTGAGTGCTGGTATTGAGAATTGAACCTTGGGTCACCGGTCTGACTCTCTAACCAATAGGCCACGACTGCCCCATTAGTGAGTTTGATGAATCAGATATGTGATGAAGGCACTGACGCCTGTTTGTGTTTCCACAGACCGTAATACAGTGCAGCTCCCTCACACTGATGTAAGTGTACTTGAGCCTCTGGTGTCATGTTATTTAGTCTCTGGTGTCTCTTGTGCTGAGATTCCTCTAATCCTTTTTTTCTTTCTCAGTTTTGAGAGGCTGTTTCAGGCTCTACCTTTCCTGCGGTCAGACATGCAGACTCTGGTCTTCCACACAACTGGAGAACTCAAGCAGAAAGCAGTGCCAGGTGAGTCTCAGCCTTTGTGTTGTCATCATCTCTCACTGTTGACTTCACTAGAAGATCAGCATGTTTCTCAGTATTTCTGATGGAATTAATGATCAAATGTGTGTGTCTTATTTACAGGCTGCTCACTTCCTGAACCTCCAACAGTAAGAGATTGTTTTTAACACAGTTTTCCTTATGGACCTCTTTCAGTCCTACAGGAATCCTCTCTATTCCTCACTCTTTAAAACGTTTTCTCAAAACTCAAAGCATACAGATATTTAAAAAATATATATATTTTACATTTTGTCTTTTTTTTGTTTTACCCTTTTTCTTCTGTTTCAGTGTCTGATCACACCTGTGAATGGTAAGTGTATTTGTACACCTTGCATTTTTCTGATCTTTACTACTCTGTCTAATCGAGTCTGAATAAACTCTGTGATGAACTGAACCTGCATTATTCCACTAGCCAACATCCATAAGCACTAAGCCTAGCTTTGCTCAGATGTCCTCCCTATTAAATGTGTGTTACATTGACAGCTGTTGTCTGTCCAGATCTATGGGCAGCCCTGGAGCCCATCCAAAGGAACAATAATAACTACACAAACCTATGCTATAGGGGCCTACAAACCTTCAGTTCTCGGCTCCATGCAACGCTAATTGCGATTAGCCTGTTGGACAAGCAAACTGAAACAGATAAACAGCTTAAATATATGACCAAATCCATTTACTAATGTTTCTACCTTTCTAGAAGGTCATGTCAGTAGTTTACAAGACTAGTAGATTTTGTGATTTAGATTTTAGAGAGAATCAAATCAAGATTTGCCCAGCATTGGATGTTCAGAAAGAGTTATTGACCAAACTCTGTTGAGTGAGACTCAAGACTCAGTGTCACACACTAGTCGTCGCCTACTGAAGTGATCAGGAGCATAGCTATTTTCCCAGGGTACAATGTTTCCAGGGCTCGACATTCCCAGGGCACAACTTTCAGAGCGCTTAAAGTTCCCAGGGTTCCATGTTCCTATGTTAGCTGAACCCCAACCCTGGGGTCATAGGACCCTTTGTCATGTGATTATTGTCCTATATATCTAGGGATCATTGGACCTGGCAACATAGGAATGACTCCCTGTAACTATGTAGTCAAAAAGAAACTGAATGAATCTGTCAGCAAATCTGAACAAGTTTTGTTGGTCAACTTTCTACTTTTAATACTTTCCTTTAAGCTTCTTGACTATTGCATTGTAATTCAAGGGTGTTATACTGAGTCGTGATGAAATCCAGTATCACTAATCAATGTTTTCTGATGAATTTAACAGCTACCAGAGTTTGTTCAGGAGTCATCAGGTATGAGCAAGTACTCTTTTCTCCACTTTGACACAGTGACATCATCTATGAGACAGGAAGTGTTCATGAAATTGTAATGTCTTCCACAGTAATGAGACTCTCCTGTCCGCTGGTCTCGTGAGCGCCCCCTGTAGTGTCGACCTGCAGCAGTACGCTTGCTCTTCGGTAAGAAGATGACCAGCAGAAACTCTTTTATAATGAGCTGATACTGATGATTGTCTGGGAATCTACGTCCCTCCAGAGAGCAAATGTGCAGCAGTTTCTAGAATCACCCGGATATTTCCTGAACTGTGATCTCCACTGATGAAACCCTTTGTGTTCGTAGCTCACAGGCTTCACTGCTGAACACCTGGCTGGACTTCTGAAGTGTCAGCTATCCAGCAGCAGCAGTTACTCCAAGGAGATCTGGAAGCTGCTCTTCACCAAAACAGACAGTGTTCTCGATGGAGCCCTCAGCATCTTTTCCAGCACGGCAGCAAATGTGGTAAATAAGCCTTGTTCTACTCTGCTCTAATGTCACTTGGAGGATTGACTGGGAATATGACAATAATTCCTCCTCATTACACCACCAGTCTCAGCCAATCAGAGGCGATGTCGTGTCCCAAGTGCTGGATGTGATTGGGGAGCTGAGGTTGGAGCGCATCAGTCCTGACCAATGGAGTGACGTTACTTTCATCAGCGAGTTGGGTCAATATCTGAAGCCGTTTCTACCCTTCGTGTCACCATCTCTACTGCAGTGCACTGGGAGCAAAAACCTCAGCTGCCAAACTTACCAGCACATGTAAGAAAACCATTTCCTCTACAATACCTCAAGACTATCGTTGATAAGATGCTTTGTTCAACATTATTTCCAACCATTCCTCAGTCTGTCAGAGTTCCCGCTGATCAATGAGACGCAAGGAAGGGACGTGGTGGGATTTTTCATCTTGCCCTTCCTCAGGAGAAACGCAACAGGTGAGGTGGAGGTTTGCAGTGGTTTCAGGCAGAATGTCACTCATGTTGAGGTTCTGGAGCTAATGAAGAGGATTTTACTGTGTGTGTTGTGTGTCAGATGTGGGCTGTGTGTCGAGTGCTAACAGCAGTACTGAGTGGCTGCTGAAGAACTTTGGCTCGTTCGCTCAGTTTGTGTCTCTTAAAGAACTGCTCTCCGTCAACGCACACTTTGATCCCGTAAGTATCTTCATTTCTTCATCAAAGAACATGATACAAAAAGAAATACGATAATTTTGACGAACATCATACGTTTTATCTGTAGGACTTTTCCACTCAGTGTTCTTCTGTGTGTCTTTAGTTGGAGACGCTGGTCTATCTGTCTCCAGGGCAGATGGTTGGACTGATGGTTGAAGATCTGCCTGGTCTTCCACAGAAGGAAGTCATCATCAATCGAGTGTTTGATCATCTGCTAGAGTCTCCTGTGGATCGAGGACTCCCTGGTGTTCTTCAAAGCCTGCTCTTACTCCCACAGACGGTAAAACTTACTCAGATGTGTTCAATGCCTCTGC